AAATGGCTGTGTTGATTTTATGGATTAAATGGGGATTTTCTGGATTAAACATACCTTAGCAGGAATCGAGACTCAGCCCTAAAATCTTCCGGTGGGGGTTTGGGAGAGAGGAAACCAGCAATTGAATAGGACTAGGGTTTGGATTTACAAAAAGAAGTGAAATCAGAGAAGCTCTGCATGAAGCCGGAGAAATTGCGCTCTCAGGCCTTTTATAAAGGCCAAAATCATACGGGATCGAGTCGCAGAGAGCAGAAGGATCACGAGGGCGAGCAGGATAAGGAGGAGGCGGAGTTACGAAAATGCCCTAAACTTTACATGAGGGTTTATCGTTATTTTTTTAACTTATTTATCTTACAGCTCAGCAGAAAACGAAACGGATCGTTTTGCCACGTGTCAGCATGACGTGGTGGTTGGATTATTGTAGGCATGAAGCCGGAGAAATTGCGCTCTCAGGCCTTTTATAAAGGCCAAAATCATACGGGATCGAGTCGCAGAGAGCAGAAGGATCACGAGGGCGAGCAGGATAAGGAGGAGGCGGAGTTACGAAAATGCCCTAAACTTTACATGAGGGTTTATCGTTATTTTTTAAACTTATTTATCTTACAGCTCAGCAGAAAACGAAACGGATCGTTTTGCCACGTGTCAGCATGACGTGGTGGTTGGACTATTGCAGGATGTCTGGGAGAATTTATAACGACTATTTCAGCCTCATGATTAGCAACGAAAATCAATTTTTTATTTTTTATTCTTTTAGAATAATTGAACATAAACTCTGAAACATATTATGACATTAAGTATTTGCAAATAGTTTCACTTGGGACCTTAGTCGTTGGAACTGCCATTTACAACAACAAGATTCACTCAGCACGAGCCATACCACTTGTCACATCTTAAGATAAAGTTTGTACCTGTAATGGAGAGGTCATTTTCACTACAAATTGCACTCCATCGAAAATGAATTATGAATAATTCTGAAAAAAAAAACACAATCAACAAAATTGGGTAAGTTGCAAATCAGAAACACCTTTTCTTAAAACAAAAAAGCGAAGCATTAAAGGCGTTTGCATTAATTAGACGACAAGATGGAAATAAAAGAATTTATTTTACCATCCCATCTTTTGGAAAATTGTAATTGGATTTTTTATATCATAAGCTATGATTTTCAAAGTTTCAAAACTAAAGCATTATAAGGTAATAATTCCCATAAGCATCAAGTAACATATTATTATTATATGAGTAATTAATGCGGTAGAAGTAATAAGAACAAATAAATTATTCATCTAGCATAATTTTTTAATTAGTCTCGCAGAACAAGGTCAATTAAAAAAGGTATTGCTATTATAACAGATCACATAATTAAGAGGAATGATAATGTCACTTGATCGAAGATTTATAGTATTTTAAAAAATCACTCATAGAAGCATTCCATAACTTGATAGACTATCGAAATGAATGATTTTTAAGCGATATGAATTTTATCTCATTATAAAAGGGTAAAATGAGAATTTTTTTATTCTAAACATGAGTTCATAGTTATAATTACCTTGCCATTATGCATATCATTGATCAATATACATACTAATGATATAGTTGTAGCAATGAGCACAGTCGAAGAGAAAGATCCAAATTATCACTATTAATGATGGATTGAATATAATAATGATAACAACAATTATAACTAAGAATGGATTAAATCGTACCCATATTATCTAAATTAGATAAAACACTAATCCATGAATCAAGGAAAATGAAGAATTTGCTTCCATTAACAACTTTTAAGACAAAAATAAGATCTAATAGTAGAAGCAGTAGAAAATAAGCGGTTCAAAAATGTTAGTCTTATTCCAGAGAATGTGTTATTGTTGTAGTACCATTTATTAAGCGTAGAGATTTCAAATAGGAACTTTCAAAAGCTATTTTGCTTTGCATGTATATTTAAAATGAGATAGAGAGAAGTGACTACGACCCCAAATTTTCAAGCTATTATAACAATATGTTAAGACATAAGAAAAAATTATTGCCTTTTCACTTTCAAACAAAAATCTCTTAATATGCTAATAATTTGTTTTGGTGTTACATGTAGCGATGCATATAAATTTTTTTGTTAGCTGCCAATTTAAAATTATCTTCTCTTGCTAAATGAATAATAATAATAGAGATAAAATTTTTGAAACTCAATTTATCTATCCAAAAGTTAATCTAGAATCATACTTAACCTAGACAGAACAAGAAGAAGATAAAATAGAGTAGAAATTCTATACAACATTTCACTTTATAGAGTTTTTAGTATAAGTAGGTGCATTATATTAAATTTTCTGAGATTTTCTTACATCCCCATATTAGGTTGGGATGAAAATTTAAGTACTGCATAAAAAAGATAACTAATCGGGTATATGAGTAATAAAAGGAAAGCACAATTAGTCACTAGAAGTAAAACACAGAAGATATGTTGATGAGTAATAAATTTGTAATTGACCAACTAGGAAAAAAACAATTAGTTTCACTAAATAAGTTTCAAAGTAGCTCCTGAACCTAAGTGCTATGCATGAGCCTAATAAACTAGTGAGTACACCATAACTCTAGCAAGTTCACTCAAATTCTTGATGTGCTTCATTGACTAATCTGCCTCAAACTGATCAGCTAGGTTCAACTTGAACGTTGTTGGAGAGTTTAGTTTAAGCATGATCAAAAAGCCTATCTTAAACCCAATTGGTGAGTATATGTTGAACTCAGCTAATGGGTTTATCTTGAACCCAACCAATGAGTTTAACTTTATAAATATTGTGTATATTTATTTCTTAATTTTTCTTATACCTTTGAAAAACAACCTCTACAAAAATATATAATTACTACTATAAATATATTTCGTTTCTTTAAACTGAAGTTGTTATTTTATTATATTCTATACAAAACATGTATTTATGTGCAAGAAAATGCAATGACAATATTCAAGATTATAATTGTATTAAAATTTATACGGATTTGATTTTACCACCCTTTTATCCATGTTAGTATGAGCAATCTCTTACGAATAATCCCTAAATTTCTTGATGAAAGGATTACCAACGCTTGGGATTTTCTTCTTCATCCCATGTTTGAGCTCTTAAATTCTACAAAAAATAGTTATTCCAAAGGTTAAAATTAAAATTTCAGAGAGTGTTCTGATAAAAAGTAACCTTAAGAAAAGAGAGAGAGAGAGAGGAGAGAAGAGAGAGAGAGAGAGAGTGAGATCTTAGAAAGAAGAAGAATGTTAAGTATTATCATGTGATGGTGAGTAAAAAGAATAAAGACACCTAAACTTTTGCAAAAGTTTTTATTGAGCATACAAAATTTGTTTCTCATTGACTAGTGAGTCTCTTGTATGTCATTCATAAACCACTAAATAATGAGTTGCATATTGAATTTTTGAGAACATATATTGTTATTTTTTTTTTTTTATAATTCCTATAATATGTTTTTTTTTCTTAAGGTGACTTAGGTAACTTTAATTGTATCAATAGAGAAAGTTATCCACCCCCTATAAAGCTTGTTGTTGAAAGGATTATTTTTGAAAGTAAATAAATCTATCTTTTTGCCATGAATATGTAATTTTTATTTTTATTTTATTTTCTAAGCCATTTTGTAGCATGTTGTATAATAATTAGGATTTAAAATAAATGATAAAGAACCAAAATTATTAATATTAATGAAAACTTTTCCAAGTATAACTGTAAGTTGCCAAAATTTGAGATTTTCGGCCGCCATAATGGATATCTCGATGCCTGGTTTTATAAGGTGTTTAATTTAATTTATATACATTATTTGGAAAAAGTAATATTTTAATCTTTAAAAATACAAGATCGAACCGATCTCATATTTTGCAATAGTTTAAATGATTGAGCACAACACTACAAATGACATATCTACTCCGAGGAATAGACACATCACTTGATAATGAGGATCGATTAAATAAACTACAGAATTTATGACATTCGTTTGGTCTGTGAACCTTTATGTTGACCGACAAGTTCCCCTATCTAATACAAATATTTAGACAAGGTTTATAATACCTGGGTTCTTAAAGCTCCCTATAAAGGCAAACCCCTATAATGAATTACATCTTACATGACTGAAGTCACTTAAGAAAACTCTTAATTCAGATCAGAAAATATTGTCTCCAAGGACTTCAAAAGGATAAGACTTTTCAAAGATCAGACAAAAATGTGTGAAATGGGATGGGCTTAAATTTGGAACATTTTATTTTGGAATCCAAAGGAAGAAGAACTAGAGAATGTCACAGATCCTGAAGAGAACCTCGGTGACTTCCCAAGCTATCCTAAGTTTTGGCTTCAATTTCATGGGAAAATTATTGAATGTTTCATCCTGCCAATTTTATTAATCAAAGCGTACATTTGTTTGAGACTATCACATAAACAACATGAAAGATGTAAGGGTTCAGGTTGTAACGAACGACAACCTTGGAATCCTAAAACGAGTTAGAACTTATATTGCACAACATGATTGTGCAAATGCCTAAAGATAAAGTTGAGGATTTATGTCGCACTAGGCTGACAATCTTGAAGTCATATGGGTTATTGTTTAATTCTAATAAAAGATATGTTGTTATAGATCCTTGTGCTGTTGTAGATTGCCGTTGTAGACGACTACTGATACACCTAAAATATATAGTGTTTTCAGACACATTTTTCTACTTATTTTTGGGATATTGCGCTTTAATGGAAGTATTTTTGAGTTTTTTTTCAGGTACAAGTAAAAAGTTGAAAAATGCTAAAAAGAGTGAAAAATGATCAAATTTGGAGGAAAACTGTGAAATTTGTGCAAAAGTATTTTGGTGCCTAAGCGGCAGATCCGACGCTTAAGCGTCGATGAAACAGAGAATGCTGCGCCTAAGCACCAGAGGCCTCGTGCTTA